TTCCCTACAAAATGACCCCTGAAAGCATCCAAAGGCAGGCCCAGGCTCTTCAGCTTCTCGGGTCTCCCCCTCCCCCAAGCCGGAACTGCCTCAGATCCCTGGTCGATTTAGCTTTTAGACAACCCGCTTCTTACTTCGTACAGCACCGAGCCTCTGCTGATGAGCTCCCGCCTCTCCAGTTTTGCAATGAAATACTTGGGATGGGATAAAACGACAGTCATCCAAATGGAGTTGAGGGAATTTTCTGCCGCTGTCTCCCCCACTACAAGGAAGAAGAAAAAAGAAAGAAAATCCATCAATCCATAAAAATCGGGGTGGGGGGGGGAGCTCTTCATTTGCATGATGCTGGTCGCCCCATTTCAGGAGGCCCAGACGGGTGATGTGAAGGTCGTGTGCCTTGATCTGTCTATAAGGCGCATATTGCAAGCAGGGAAGTGACCATTCAACCAAGCTGTCCAGTTTGCTCAGCTACAAGGCTTACTCACGTAATTAGAGCTTCTTGCACCCACTAGCCATATGCCATTGTTGCCAGCGTTTAACACAAAGGGGGAGGGATGGCTTAAAATTATTGAGCTGAGACTTACTACTTAAGTGTCTCTGTATCTGGAACATGGACCCAGCTGATATTATGATAGGTGTTTGCCATTACTGCTCAAATAGATAGATCCAGGTAGTCAACCGTGTTGGTCTGAAGCAGCAAAACAAATTCAGAGTCCAGTGGCACTTCTAAGACCAACAAAGGTTTATTCAAGGTAGGAGCTTTCGTGTGCAAGGCACCCTTCTTCAAATACAATGGAGGTAAGGTTCAAACTTATAGACGGGCTGAACAGCAAATTAACATGTAACTTGATGAAGATGTTTTAAGAGCTGCCGAAAACAGAATAAAATAACAAGCTAAGGCTATAAGGTCAACAGTTGTAAAGCAATAAATATGTCAAAATAAGTCTGAGACTCTCCATTCACTCCCAGAGTGTGGAGGTCACAATAACATTTTTACTTTCTTTTTCGAGGTGGGAGCAGTGTTATGTCAGCCAAACATTCCAATATTCCTTGTATTACATTCAGTATTCTAACATACTATTCTGAAAAAGAAAAACACTAAAATACAGAGGATGTCTAGTCCCTCTGTATGAGAATACATACGTGAGGACTAAATGAGTTAGCATATGTAATGAGATAAGAAACCAATATCCCTGTTGAGTCCTGGGGAGGTTTTTGTTCCAAGTGTTGTAATAACGACACTATTTTCTTTTATTTAATTCTGTTTTCGCAGATCTTTTTTTTTTCAATTTATTTTTTGGAATTTGCAATATAATATGGGTAACATTCCATTGATTTGATTTATGTTTTCGAGTCTACAGTTCCACTTTGTTGTTCAAACACATATAAACTTTTGACCACCTCTTTTCAAACAACTCATCATCTTTACCCTGCATTATAACATTCAATCTATCTATTTCTGTAACTTCCATCTATGGATTACCTCTTCTCTCTTGGGGGTTCTCTCAGTTTTCCAACACTTAGCTAGAAGAATTCTGGCTGAGGTTAATATATATATATTATAGTTCTGTCAGACAGACAGACAACCTTTATTGGCATGAAAGAGATAAGATAACATTAAACTTTAGGAATACATCAAAAGTATGGCTGTCAAACAGCCAACAAAAAAGAACTGATCAATTAATAGTTTCCCTGGTTCGAGTGACAGATCGAAGAAAACAAGCAACATTAAAAGTTATAGAAGCGTTTTGCCCAGAGAGTAGCAACTGGACCTTGACACTCTCAGGAAGACCACGCCATGTAAAAAGAAGGGCGTCCAGAAATTTTCCTCGAATCTTAGTATAAAATGGACAATTTAAAAGAACATGGGAAACGGATTCGATGGCACCCTGACCGCAGGGGCGATCTCGCTGCGACATCTGTCACCCCATCGATCGCCAGGGTTGATTTGGCTGATCTGGCTGGCTAGGTGGGTGTCCCCAACCTCCCTCACCGCTCCACGTGCGTCCCTCCCGAAGCTGCGCGCTCGGTCGAAGAGGACGACCAAATAGAAGGGGAAGTCGTGGAAGTAGTGACAGACTTCACGTTCCTGGGA